TGATCCAGGGAGCCATGACTGAAGGTCTTCCATGTTCAAGGCACAGAACCAGCGCTCCTAGTCCTTCCAGCCACTTTGTGAGCACACGAGGGGGCAGCACCCTCCTTTCATTGCTAAGGAAACTGGCCCTGCCAGAGGCCTCTTGATGAGGTACACCTGGGAGGTGATACATTGGAATGGGGAGTTTGTTAGTGTTAGTAGCAAGAGGGGCTAGTTTTTAGATTGCATCGACCTGGAAACGTATCTTATCTATAATCCTTGAGGGTGGGGTTGAGGGTTGAGCTTTTCTCCTGAGCCGAATTGCTGCTTTGTGGGAAGGTTCTGCCCAGGGTCCCTCCAGGCCTCCTTCAGTTTTTATAGGGCTCCACTGTTTACCCATCACCTACCTGGTCACACCATTTGATGTCATTTGGCAGGTGCTGAGGCCCAGGCAAGGAGAAGGCGTGACAGTCCCAAATGTGAGCGCACTGGCAACTCTTCAGCCAGGAGGCTCTTTCTCTAACTTGAGGGTGCTCAGGGACTCTGCATAAACCTGCACTTGTCTCCCAGATGCCATGAGCCAAGCCCATCACTAGTGTGTCATGGAGTTTTAGTTTGTAGCAGCCAGAGGCAGGGAAAGGGAGTTGCTCTGTGACTCATGAAGTCACATAGGCAGAACCACAAATAAGGGACTTCAGTTGGCAAAAACCAAATTGCTTCAAGGCTATTCTTGGAAACTAAAGCATCACATCTTGTTTTCTTCCCAGAAAAATGCAAAAACCTTTCATATTTTGGGGGGTAGCTGGTTTTATTTATATTGCATATCAGACTCCCAAAAGGCAACAGCTGGGGGGTGGTTGACAAGAAAGACTTTAAACAAGAGCTATTTCCCAGGATCCTCTGGTTTAATTCATCCTTGACCTTCTCCTTTTGGGGAAGGAAAGGGGTAACCTCCAAAAATATGACACTCCAGTTTCTGGAAGAAAAAGCTTGAAGCTTGGACACAAACTCCCAGAGCCCTTTTAAGTCAGCCTTTCTATTTCATTAATAAAACCACCTCACACCAGGTATGTTTTCAGGTCATTACCCAGACGTCCTCGTCTGTGTTTCCCCACTGTATATACGGGGAACTTAAAACCCAGAAGTTAAGTTAGGTGTCCAAGGAGACACAGATAGGAAGTAGATTTGAACTGAATTGAAAGCCCACAGCCTGAATTTATACAGACATAAATTCAGAGAGGAATTTGTTTCAGAGAGGAAGGGAGAGGGAGAGAGAAAGAGAAACATCAATGATGAGAGAGAATCACTGATCAGCTGCCTCTGACACGCCCCCTACTGGGGACGGAGCCCACAACCCCAGCATGTGCCTTTGACTGGAATCAAACCTGGGACTCTTCAGTCTGCAGGCCAACCCTCTATCCACTGAGCCAAACCAGCTAGGGCTAAAGTTTTAAAGTATACAATTCCTCAATCTGGGAAGCTAGTCCTAGTGGTTATCAATTGTGTTCCTTTTTCTCTTTCTTTTGGTTTGATAAGGTTAGGGCCTGTAAGAAATTCTTCTATTCAGTAATGAGTGCAGGTTATCATGTAGCCAGCAGGTGCTGAATACTTCACCTGCATGGTCTAAAGTAACCCTTACAGCCCTGTGAGTGAGTGAGTGTTATCCCTACGTTACACACAAGAACACAGGCTGAGATAGATTAGATAACACGCCACTGGTCACATGGCTAGCAAGAACATATGACCAGATCCACACCCGAGTTTGCCAGACTCTAAATATTCTGCTGTTCTTCTGTGAGAAACCTACCCACAGGGGTATTAGTCATTGTTAGGGTCTTGGACTTAACTGGTTTTAAAGGCTGAGGCTGGACCCTTGAGATCAGGGAGGCAGGTCTGAGCCTGGTACGGGCTGTGGGGTACGGTCCAAGGCAGCGCTTATCTTCTGCTGTCTGGCCGTCTCCCTCCACCTCCCTTATCTCACTCCAGATAAGAGCTGGTTCCTCGAGCTCCCACACCCACCCAGCGCCCTCAGCACCACCTTTGGCTCTGTCTACTGGAGGCCTAAGATTAAGCTGTGCATTATTCTTTTGTGGGGAGGAGAAGAGGCAGCCGGGGGTTGGGAGGAGACAGGTTCTTCCAGTTTGTAAATGATTCTCTGGCAGTCAGGCCTGGCTTGATACCTCTAAACACTTCACCATTTTAGACGAGGCGGAGTTGGCTACGTGCAGAACTGATTTACAGAACGATTTTTCAAACTGGTGAGTTCCCTGATGCAAACCCGCCCCATGTCATGGGCACAGCACACATTTCCACACCTACCGAGTGCCTCCCGGAGCCAGGCTCTGCTGTCAATCGTGTATCCCCCCTTCCCAGCAGCCCCGCAAGGTGCAGCTGTCACCTGTCTCTTACAAAAGAAGCCACCGAGGCTCAGGACTTCTGTGGCTTGTGCGAGGCCATGTGGGCAGTGAGGGGCCAGGCTGAGCTTTGGACTCGGGCCTGGGGCTTTCTCTGCACCACCCGCCCATCCTCGGAAAGGACTGCAGGCTCCAAGTCCTTTTCTATTTGCCAGTCAGCGACTGCATTTTTTGTTCAGTGCCGGGCAGAGAAGTGGTTCCAAAGATAAAGACTGAGGATATTAATACTCTCTGTAAAGCAAACGGGCCTTGCTCTCTGTTTATGCTCTCTGGGTGGCAAGTGTTGGACCGGGGGAAAGTTGAAACACAGTAGGAGGCGGCGTTTATGTGCGTGATGCCAAAGTGAGCATCTCGGACAATAAAGAAGCTGGGAGGGCATCTGTGAGGAACAAAACGCCGTACCAATGCCAGGCATGCTCAGAGCCAGCTTTCCAAGTCTGCTGAATTTGCTGAGTTGCAGGGACCAGAGCAGCCAGGTACGTTCTCAGGGAGGATGGAGGGCCGGCTGAGGAGTGGAACTTGGCGAGGCCTGGGTCAGGGAATGTGCTGTTCTCCCTTCAGCCAAGCAAGGTGCAAGCATGGTGCAGGAGCTCTTGGGGAAAGAGGGCGGGCTCTTATTGTATTGCCGGTGCCCCCTCACCTGTGAGTATCTGGGAGTCTGGTGTCTGGAGAGCGTGTCTGTCCCCAGCAAGCTGCTCCCTGCAGGTGGAGCTCAGCCAGGCTGCCACACAGGATTCACGGGTGAGCTGTCTCCTTGCTCTCCCCTGCCTTCCTCACTGTCACCTGGGCAGCCACTTAGCTGCCTCCTTCTCCAGTCCACTCCCTGGCTGCTCATCTTCCCAAAAACTTCTCTCAGCCACTGCTCATGTCCTGTACCCCCGGGGTTACTCCATGATCTGCCCTGGGCATCCCCACTACCCCTTGTCACGCATCCTGAACTCCTCGCCAGTTGAACTTGCAGTCATTCTTGCAGCTGTCCTGGCTCTTTCCAAAGGCACACCTTTGTGCGGTGTTTGCATGGACCTAAATGTACATCCCCCAGTTTTCTAATGAAAACTAGAAAGCATTTTGGCATTTCCCTCTCAGGGCTCCTCTGGCTCTGCTGGCCACCTCCTGCTCTGGGCTTGGGCGCACTGTGTTCATATTCTACAAGGGCTTGCCCATCATCTTGTAATCAACTCTTTAGGTGCCTGTCTCCTTCACTCTGTATTCCCAGCACATAGGGCAGGGAGGGGTGGGGAACCTTTTATTTGCCAAGGGCCATTTGGCTATTTATGACATCATTCTTGGGCCATACAAGATTACCAATTTAAAAATTAGCCGGCTATATTGGGTCAAACATTTAATTAACTCACCCCTAATGCCTTGGCAGGGCCAGGCCAAATGATTTTGATGGCTTTATACAACCCACAGGCTGGATGTTCCCCGCCCCTGTCCTAGGGTGATGCGTGGCTCTTGCTAAGACACTAGTAATTGTTGCTGAATGAGTGAGTAAAGGACTAAGGGAGAGGATGAACACCGGTCTCTCTCTGCTTTTAGTATTACAAAGCCAGCCTGCAATCCGAATGCACCCATAATAGCGTTCCCATCTGGAGAGTGGGAAGCCGCCCAGCCTGAGGGCCTTGTCGCTGTGTTTGCTGACCTCCCCCTGCCAGGCCTCCGTCTGGGGGAGCTCGGTGTGCCGTATCCTCTCATGTACAGCCCCCTCCAGCCCTCCTGACAGCGGCGCAGGCCCCAGCTCCTCCCTGCTCGTCTCCATGCACTAGCTTTGGATTCTAGAAAAATAGCTGGTGCTTTGGAAAATCAGCTCTAACTTATTTTTGTTCCTTTGAAACTTAAATGACTTTCCCAAGAAATGCCTGAGGTTAGAGTGGTACAGAGAGAAAGGACGGTGGCCAGAACCCAGGCAAGCTATTTTTGTGACGCGAATGAACACCCATCGCATTTTTCCTCCCGTCAGCCCGAGCACTTGTTCCAAAGAGCTCACGGCTCAGGCTTACAAAGCACAGGCGCCTCTCTGCACAGGAGGGGACCCACGTGCCTCCCTGACCTTCTCCGAGGGAGGTCGATGCTGTGAGCCCAGCAGACACCAGGAACAGAGAGAGGTTGCTGTTGTCTGTATGGGGGAAAGACCTGTCCTCTGGTAACCAACAAAAGAGACTTAAAGATTGATGTCTAACAACAGGTGACGTGGTCATGGGACCTCGGGAGGCATGTGCTTGGGTTTTGGGGGGGCTGTGTACTAATGTGTGGCCAGGTGACATTGTATCAGGCAACCGATTTGCAGCAGGAATTATAGAATCTTAATGGTGATAAATCTAGAGTGCTTTTCTTTTTGTTGTTGTTGTTGTTTTTTCCTTTGACTAGTTACTATTTCTAGAACCATCTGGCTCACAGCAAAATTGACCAGGTAATGTTGACACCAGCCAGCTATAGCTCGGAGCTATCTGGTTCTTGTCAGCCAGTGAGAGGAATGGGGAGAGGGTGCCAGCAGGCAGCATTGCCAGGGTAGACAGTATGGTTGTACATTTTCTATGGATTTTTTTTTTATGTTTCGCATGAAGTATTCTGGTTAGCACCTTAAAGGAATTTTATTTGCTCCCCCAGCACTCATCCCTGCCCACCCTTGGAGCTCACCTCTGCCTCCGCCTACCTTTGCAGGTGTGACGTTCCTCCGGGTCCTTCATGGTGTCCTCCTCCATCTTCTCCTCACCACTGCGCCACGCGGCTCCTGAAACATGGGGGAAAACGAGGACGAGAAGCAGAGCCAGGCCGGGCAGATTTTTGAGAACTTTGTCCAGGCTTCCACATGCAAAGGCACCCTCCAGGCCTTCAACATCCTCACGCGACACCTGGACCTAGACCCCCTGGACCACAAAAACTTTTATTCCAAGCTCAAGTCCAAAGTGACCTCCTGGAAGGCCAAAGCGCTGTGGCACAAACTGGACAAGCGTGGATCCCACAAGGAGTATAAGCGAGGGAAGTCGTGCGTGAACACCAAGGTAAGGGGACCGGCGTGCGGGCGTTTCTTACCCTTGTGGGCGTGTGGGCTGACTTGCTGAGAGGGTAGGAAGCTGTTGCCATTTGGACAGTCTAAGGTTTTCAACAGGGGTGGGTGTGGGTGTGGGTGTGTTTTATTGCCTTCTCAGTTGCAGGTTTTCTTTGCCTGAATGTATTCGGATTGGGAATTTCCATCTTATCATGGTGGCTTAACAACTCTTCTTGTGCCCTCTCCAAGGAAGAGAAAATAAAGGCATGCTTGGTATTATTCTACTTCTATGACTACTGCTAGTAGCTGCTATTTATTGAGCAACATCTGTGTGCTAGGCACTTAATGCACACAGTTTCATCGAACACCCACAGTAGTCCATTGGGTCATTGTAGAGATATAGATACTAAAAAGTCAATTATCTTGCCCAAGGTCACATAATTAGAAGGCAACCTTGATCTGATTCTAGAGCTTAAGCCCTAAATTCCATGGAGACACATAATGAGAGAGTTGTGTTCCCCCGGGAGCAAACATTTTAGAAAGATGCCCTGACTTTAACTGGCTAAGAAATAGGTCTTTGGTCCTTACTGCCTTTTCCTCCCTCCCTCTTTCTCTTCTTCCCCGACCTCCCTACCTCTCCACCTCTCCCCCAGCATGCATTTCTCTGTTCTGGATCATGATTGTGGTTAACCCTCCACAAGCTGATTGCTTCCCCCATTGTTGGGCCATAAGCATCTGTGAATGGGACTGACCAGCACATCCCATCTCAGGTAACGCTGCAGTGCCCATCGATTCATGGACAGCCAGGAATCAAGACTTCCTGGCCGGGTCTTGGGGTCTGTCCGCCCTGGGCGCTGGTCCAGACTGGATGTTTAGGTTAAAAGTGAGCATGCTGTATTTAGACCTCACAGGAGATAGCGCAGCCAGAGCTCTTGGAATTCTAGTCGGTGCCAATCTCAGACAAGAGGATTGAACTCTCCATGGCAATCGGGACTGTTGTGTGTTTGTTTTGGTGATGAGGAGCCTTTGAGTCCACCGTGGGATACGGCTGCTTTCCCTTGCCCCTGGGGAGACAGCTGCCAAGCTCCTCTGAGGCTGGGACGCGCAGCTGTATGGGGCATGGGAAGAGCATTGCATCAGACCAAGCGCTTCAGCCCAGAGCACCCTAGCCACCCTGCCCATAACCTGCCAAGCTTTAGCCTTATACAGAGGAGATGGAAGTGTTAAAGAAAGGGAGGGGGAGAAAGGAGTGGGGCCTGTATCCTTGGTGCCAGCCCCGCCCAGCACCTCCCTTCCTAGTTGTTGTAACTTCATGGTTCATAGTTCACTGGACAAGTTCCTCAGACATAGAGGCAGGGGAAGCTTTTAGCTTCAAAAGCATTACCGTTCTCAGTACTTGCACATGGTGGCTTTCTGTTAAACAGGTGGCTCGACTGGTTGGAGCATCGTCCCATACACCAAAGGTTGTGGGTTCGATTCCTGGTCAGGGCACTTATCTAGGTTACATGTTTGATCCTTAGTCAGGGAGCATACGGGAGGCAACTGATTGATGTTACTTCTCTCTTTCTCTCTCTTCCTCTCTCTAAATTATAAATAAAAATCATCCTCAGATGAGGAAAAAAAGAAAGGTGCCATAGAAGTCAGGTGGTTGGATTGCAGTGCTCTCTGGGAACATTTTCAGAGACCTCATTTTATCAGGAAATGCCTTGCCCCTTCTAGCTCTGGGGAGAACTCTGTTGGAGATCTGAAGACAGACCTTCAGAGGGCGTCAGCCAGCAGAGGGATGGAATGGAGGGCTGACCACCATGTAAATTTCCCTCTTTTAAAAATGACTAGCTGGTTGCCTCGCCTGTCTGGCCAGCCCCTCTTTTACAAGCTTTGGTGGCTTGAAACAGAAGAGTCCTCACATCCAGTGGTTGGCAGGTCACCATTGGTGCCTGCGATACAAAGAGGAAGAACTAACATCTTCAGCGAGTGAGGCTGAGTACGAGTGATTCTGGCCCAGGAATTTTTACACCTTTCTTAGGAGGAGGAACAAAGACATTACAAATGTGGGATAGCCCATCTCATAAAAACTACCTGAAGAGTAGAAAATACATTTGAAAATGAATTCTAAGTACAGTGTGACTGTGTGAGGCCACTTTAGCTGCACATTTCAGAAACCCACCTCAAACTACCCTAAAGAACACAGGGAAAGCCGTAATTCGTATAAACAGGAAGGTCGAGACACTCCAAGTCTATCCCACCCCCTCTCCTTCCATCTATCTTTGGATGTTTTGTTTTGCTTTGGCTCCATTCCTCCATCCTGCAAACAGATTTTTTCCATATTGGTAGCCTCTAGGCCAGTGGTTCTCAACCCTCTGGCCCTTTAAATACAGTTCCTCATGTTGTGACCCAACCATAAAATTCTTTTCGTTGCTACTTCATAACTGTAATGTTGCTACTGTTATGAATCGTCATGTAAATATCTGATATGCAGCATGGTCTTAGGCGACCCCTGTGAAAGGGTTGTTTGACCGCCAAAGGGGTCGCGACCCACAGGTTGAGAACCACCGCTCTGGTTCCTATCTTTATAGCACTGTGACACAAAAGGCTAGAATCTTTCTCTTCCTGCTCAATATTGAAAAAAGTCCCAGGGAAGGATCCCTGTAGGCTCACCTCTGAGCCAGTTACTGTGGCCAAAGCCAGGGGACCTGACTACTGTCTTTGGCAGCCCTTTCAAGCATCACTTGATTGACAGGTGGGAGGAGCAGGTCCTCAAGGACAAGAGGGGAGAGACAGATAAACAACAGGTGTCCTTTGCAGTGCCTGTTTGCTTGCAATCCGGTTGCCGTAGGGGCCCTTTCCATCATGGATTCACATGGATGGTGTGCTCAGCTCTAAGAGCCTGGCACTTATACTGTGCGCTCTGAGTCAAGCAAAACACAGAACACGGTCCTCCTGCTCTTCCGATGAGAACACGGTCTTGCTCACACGCCTCCTTCAGGGACCCTTTGGCTGAGCGTTAATTAGCCAAACAAGAAATGCTTGGCATTAGCATGCATGTGGCTCGTCATGGGACACAGGTGTGTCAGGTCCCAGGCAAACAGCCAAGCTCCTGATTAGCCACAGGTAGAGTGGGAATGAACGAAATTCAGCCAGGACGCTGACCTTGCGCTGAAGTGGACACATTTCAGGCCCATCTGGAGTGGATCTAGGCTTTAGCATTTCATAAGCATTTATCAGCCCCTACTATGTGCTAAGCACTGTGCTGCTCCTTTCATGCCAGCAGTGTGTGTGAGTGTGCATGCGTGTGGGGGTGTGTGCTGGTGGTGATCGTGGTGGGAGATCGGTGACCAGGATCTGTTTAGAGAAGAAGGCCTCAGGTGCCAGGGACAGGAAGAAGGACCTGCAAGGTCACTAAAGTGGCTTAGATGCTGGTTGCATACTCTAACTTGGGATCATTGTTTGTTATTAACTATTATTTACGAGGATTGTGCCAGTCACTTAATAATTCTTTCCCTGGGTGTGATCTGTTTGGGTATGAACCTTGGAATGAACCAAGGATCAGGCCATGTACTCTTTAAGGTCCGCTATTGGCTCTGTATTAGGGCAGTACCTGGATCAAATGCCACATCCAATTGTGTAATGTTCCCAGGGAAAATACCCAGAAGAAAATGCGATATGTAATTTAGTATGGGAGTTACCATAACCACAAAATCATGGAGTCTGGTCATTTATTTTATATGTACCTTTTAAAAAAATATGTTTTTTATTGATTTCAAAGAGAGGAAGGGAGAGGGAGAGAGAGAAAAATCAATGATGACAGAGAAACATTGATCAGCTTCCTCCTGCACACCCCCTACTGAAGTTGGAGCCTGAAACTTGGGCATGTGCCCTGACCAGGAATCAAACTGTGACATCCTGGTTCATAGGTTGATGCTCAACCACTGAGCCACACTGGCGGGGCAGTGTACCTTGAGGGAAGGAACTTGAGAGAATGCTGTGTACAGTCACTCTATTTGTCAAGTGACAAACTGGGCCCAGCAAGCTAAAGCTGTTTGTCTGAAGCTAGTGGGTGGCATTGACAGGACTTGGGCTCCATTTATTGGCTGGCTTATTTATTTATTTATTTATTTAGTTAGTTAGTTAGTTCATTTATTTGTTATATATTTCCCTTGCCCTGTACATTAGTAGGTGTTCAACAGGGGAGATGGTGTGAAAGACTAATAAGAAGTTCTTACTTGAACTTTCTATACAGGAGACAGAAATGCCATTATTTTTGTATTTGTTCACTTAATCATTTATGAGGTGAATAATTATTGAGCAGCTATTGTGTGCTAGGCACTTGTCTAGGCACCCATCAGCCACTTAATATCTCTGTGGCCCTGAGAACTTACTTAAATCTCTGAACCTCAGTAGCATTCTCTGTAGAATGAAGAACTTTCTTCATGGAGTGACTGTGAAAATTAAAGAAGGTTAGTTTTGTGAAGTGTTTTAGAAGTGCTGCCTAGTACATACGTACTAATAAGTGATCAGTACATGTTTTGCCATTATTATCATTAATATCCTAAGTGCTGTTAAAGAGGTGTGTACACAGTTCTACAGGAATCTGTGTGATTGGGGTAGTCTAGAATGCTTCCCGGCAGAGGTGGTATGATTTGAGGCTTGACAGGTAAATAGGAGTTTGGCATTGCTGGGGAAGAGCTAGAGGGAACACAAGGCAGAGGTGCAATCTAGGACGAGGTAGAGAGTTGCTCATGAAAAGGGAATGAAGATACCTGTGGGGAGAGGTGAGAAGGGGGAGCTAGAGAGAGCAGAATGGGTGGGTGGCATGAGGAGACCAGAGAGAAAGGCCTCCTGGGGCCATGTGGTGAAGACAGGGTCCTGCAATCACACAGAGGACCTGGGCGACCATCGGGGATGAGCCCCGAGTCCCAGTCCTGGGTTCTTTCCACAAGTCTCCCTGGGATGGCTCATTAACTATAGGTAACCGATTCAGGGGAGAAGCCATTTGTATATCATCGCCATAAC